CTGTCCAGAGTGAGAGACAAGGAAATCTCACCCCGGTAAAAAGCATGGATTTACTTCACAAGAGTGAGAGACAAGGAAATCTCACACCGGTAAAAAGCATGGATTTACCTGTCCAGAGTGAGAGACAAGGAAATCTCACACCGGTAAAAAGCATGGATTTACCTCACTAGAGTGAGAGACAAGGAAATCTCACACCGGTAAAAAGCATGGATTTACTTCACCAGATTGAGAGACATGGAAATCTCACACCGGTAAAAAGCATGGATTCACCTGTCCAGAGTGAGAGACAAGGAAATCTCACCCCGGTAAAAAGCATGGATTTACCTCACCAGAGTGAGAGACAAGGAAATCTCACCCCGGTAAAAAGCATGGATTTACCTGTCCAGAGTGAGAGACAAGGAAATCTCACTCCGGAAAAAGCATGGATTTACCTGTCCAGAAGGAGAGACAAGGAAATCTCCCACCGGTAAAAAGCATGGATTCACCTGTCCAGAGTGAGAGACAAGGAAATCTCACCCCGGTAAAAAGCATGGATTCACCTGTCCAGAGTGAGAGACAAGGAAATCTCACACCAGTAAAAAGCATGGATTTACCTGTCCAGAGTGAGAGACAAGGAAATCTCCCACCGGTAAAAAGCATGGATTCACCTGTCCAGAGTGAGAGACAAGGAAATCTCACCCCGGTAAAAAGCATGGATTCACCTGTCCAGAGTGAGAGACAAGGAAATCTCACACCAGTAAAAAGCATGGATTTACCTGTCCAGAGTGAGAGACAAGGAAATCTCACCCCGGTAAAAAGCATGGATTCACCTGTCCAGAGTGAGAGACAAGGAAATGTCACACCGGTAAAAAGCATGGATTCACCTGTCCAGAGTGAGAGACAAGGAAATCTCACCCCGGTAAAAAGCATGGATTCACCTGTCCAGAGTGAGAGACAAGGAAATCTCACCCCAGTAAAAAGCATGGATTTACCTGTCCAGAGTGAGAGACAAGGAAATCTCACCCCGGTAAAAAGCATGGATTTACCTGTCCAGAGTGAGAGACAAGGAAATCTCACCCCGGTAAAAAGCATGGATTTACCTGTCCAGAGTGAGAGACAAGGAAATCTCACCCCAGTAAAAAGCATGGATTTACCTGTCCAGAGTGAGAGACAAGGAAATCTCACACCGGTAAAAAGCATGGATTTACCTGTCCTGGGTAAGAGACAAGGAAATCTCACCCCGGTAAAAAGCATGGATTCACCTGTCCAGAGTGAGAGACAAGGAAATCTCACCCCAGTAAAAAGCATGGATTTACCTGTCCAGAGTGAGAGACAAGGAAATCTCACCCCGGTAAAAAGCATGGATTTACCTGTCCAGAGTCAGAGACAAGAAAATCTGTCACACAGCTGAAAACAGTGAACTTTGTCACTTATCTGAGACACATAGTAATAACCGATTCACACATCTGAGACAGTGTAATAACTGTTACACAACTGAGACAGTGTAATAATTGTGTCACACAGCTGAGATAGTGAAATATCTGTATCACACAACTGAGACAGTGTAATTACTGTGTCACACAGCTGAGACACAGAATAATAACTAACCATGCAAAACAACAGAGACATGGTGTAATAAAATACAGCATATCTATAACCATGTCACAAAGCTCGTACACAGAGTTATCTTGAAACATCCCAGATAGCTGGGACATACATAATAATGTAAGACAAATTGGGAGGTAAGTTTGCAAGAAAACGTGACAAGGGAGATAACTTCGATTGACATGTGATCCATTATGTCAAACCAAAAATCTGTAGTAACTTTACATGAACATCATGTTGATTTGCCTTTATCCAACTCGTACAATAGTGTTATTTCAATATTTCTTAAACTACATCCCCAGACAAAATTACACAGAAACATTCACATGGAATCATTTAATTCTTTCTACACAATTGATAAACTCAAGCTCATGTACATTGCAGTATTCAACATAAATGAGAGCAACATCCTGGTCATTTTTATCTAAATTTTACTTAAACACTTTTATACAGTTTATAATGTAACTGCTGATGACTATTTTAAACGTTTTCATTATCAATGAGACATATGCATTTGATACAAGAATTACGTTTCATTATTCAAAACCCAATGTTAACTAGATCATCTTATCCCTTATTCGAAACATCCATCAAAAAATTAAGTAATCTCGATTCCAATATCTATACTTCATGTACAAGAGATTTTTTTCTTTTTGAAAGCTTGCTAAACAATTTTACCTATAAACATCAAAGAAGTGTAGATGTATAATGTAACAGCATATATTATAGTGGTTATCTTATCTTAAGCAATTTTCAGGCTCAAAGTATTGTGCTAAAATATGATTTTTTTTTTTGTGGTTTCTGTATGTTGTTTATACAGTAATTCATGTGAATGTGCAAGTTTATCATTGCACCTATCCATTAAAAGTATATAATGTGCTAAAATCAGATTTTGTCAAAATGAGTATGCTTATGGTATCATGATGCATATTTTGGAGGAGGACCGTAACATACTTCTGGCATATTGTTTTTGTTATAACAAAATCTTGTTCTAGTATATATTTAGAAACTCTCTGAAATTCTAAATTCAAAATGAACTTTTTTTAAAATTGCTCAGATAAATCAAACTGCATCTGTGACCATCTATTGACATGAATTTTATGGACAAAATGAAAAAAAACAGTAAGACACCTATCTTCCTCAAAGTCTGCAATGATACACTTTCACATGTATCATATTATAACAGAAGTACCTGGATATTTTCTTCATGACAACAAACAACAACTCTGAATAACTTTAACATTTGCAAAACATTAAAGAATTTCAATATCTCAACTAAATTGTCTTGAGGAGGATGACCCTCTACTTTAAGTGTAAAAAGCACAACCTTCAACAATTACCAAGATAACATCAAAAGATACATAAACTAATAAGTTCATATGTAAAACGATAAGAGATATTTTGAGATGACAAAGAAATCAGATATTTTAAAATTTTGTTAAGAAGAAAGTGGGATGAAGTGTTCCAAAGAAAACATCAGCAATAAAGATCAACTAACCTGCAGTGTTTCCCCTTACCTTTTGAAACAGGGGTTCACTAAACAGGGGTTAAGTGTGCCCCTAACAATGTATTCATATGGGAGAGTGCTTGAAAACTGGAGGTATAAGTCTTTAACTTTAGCAATTTGGGGGGTAGAGCCTCATTGAGGGTAATGAGAAATTAGTATACAACTATTAACCAAATATATTATGTATCAAATATTAGTTAATTTCAAGTGCTATTCACAAACAACTCCTACATATCAGGTAATTCACGCATAGCAAAAGAAAATTATAACTATCAAAAAATCTTCCATTTAGAAGAAAGAAAAGAAAAATAGAACCTGATTAACAATGCCTCATCAAAAATACATCTATATTACTCCTAGAAAACAAAGGACGTGCATGTCAACAATGCTAAAGGTAACCATGGGTTTCCTACCTTCTGTACAGCACATTTACTAGTGCTGTACCACAGATAGTCATCACAATGTGAAAAGTCATCAGTTGTGTGCATACCAGTACAATGAAACCAGTCTAATTTACAATGCCCAAATAGATTCAATAATTATTACTTCCTGTAAAATCATTCAATTTTGTGGGAATTTATTTTCATTGGATTCATGGGTAGTCTTAATCTGAGCAAATGACCTGTAAATATAAGAATAAAAAGACTTATTGACTCGTATATTTATTCATGAAACGCAGTGTCAGCTAATCATACTGATTATATTAGTACTTTTTTTGTAAAAACCATGAATATTATATTCCATGAAGAGATTTTACAGCATATATAAAATTGGATGTCAGAAGTCAGAATGCAATATGATTTAGTAGAATGTTGAGACATGACTACATCTGTATATAATTAAAAGCTGGGCTAGACAGGTTTCAATATACTTTACCGTAAATTAGTAAGCACTGCACATATAGACAATAGTATGTGGTTGCATTGATAATGACTGTGAATCTTAACTGTTTAATACTTCAGTAACCATCCAAGATCCAAGTCAGAGTATTTATAATACAATGCTTCACATATTGGTTTTGCAAGAGTAACATTGACTAAATGTTGTTAAAAGTCAGATGCAATTAGTTATATGTCACTGTTTTGGAGAATGTGTTCTGAACATATGAAAAAAGTCCTCATAATTGTTATCGTTTTTTTTCTTATTTTTTTGAAAGATGAAAATTTTAAATAAATGTGGAAACAATATCAAGAACAGTATTTAATACTGATTTGATAAATTGATCAAAGTTTAATTCTTAACAGTCACCCCCACAATACATAAGTAAACAATATATTGAGTGTTTTGTTCCAAATTTCAAAACTAGAGACGCCATTTGTAAGCTCACTGTGAGAATGTACCATATAGGAAGCTAGCTCTTGTCCAGAATAACAGAGATACATAATTCTGGAACTAATTTTCTAATGAAAGAATGACAATCATAAAACCAGCTGTTATCTAATTTAACGGATAACTCATATTTAATCAATGAATTCAAATCCTGAACCAATACTGTTTAAAGGACATCAAGTCAATACATTTAATTACAATCAATTCAAAATTTCAACTGATGTCAATAAATCATGAATGGAGATTACATATATCATATCAAGAGGGAAATATACTATGATAAATGGATATGATATGTACACCTGTAATAAGCTGGTTTAGCACTATTATGCAGTAGAAAAAATCACAAGTACCCCCTGGGGCACACAATTTGGTTACAAGTTCTTTAATCCAATTCTGAATTTTACATGAACAACAGACATATCATATCATCAGATACATCAGACCTGCACCAATATGCTATAATCATCACATTCACAAGTTCAGTTTAAGGCAGAGCTACAATGTAGTAAAGCATTTCTGTAAAATCACTTTTCTTAATTCAAAAAAGAAAAAAAAAAAAGGTTTTCATTTACCAAGTTTATGGTCTTCTATGACCATTCTTAAAAGTTTTTTATTTGTTTTAAATAGAAAAACATTCACATACTAAATAAATACTACTGTACCAATAATAAAATTCAACACTAGGGCTTGTATCTATCTAAGTGGAGATAATTTGGTATGCAAACATCAATGCCCTAACAGACCTGTGCCTTTGAAGCCCGCCTCAGGGCCAGAGGACACTTGAATGAGATCCTGTAGGACCATGGGGTCCTCCACTGGTTCATCTGCCTGCAGCATTATAACTGAACCAGGAGACAACATTAGGCTCCCCAACGTGGCTGTGTCATCATTCAGACTCACCCCTGAAACAGTCAGATTCTGATCAAATGGGGGCACAGAAAACAGCTTCATGATCTGTAGTTTTAGTTCCTTCAACGTATCTGTTGAAGACACTTTTAACTCTTTCTCACCCCTAGATTTTCTGTGGCGCTGACTTTTGCGTCGTGTTCCATCTGCAAGTTTCATGAATTTTTCTGGAGGTTCTTCAAAACTTGTCCTGGATTTGTTTGCATTCTGTTGTATAAAATCTGGATCCTCCTCCTTTTCCATGTCTGTTGTATTCACCAGCTTTTGATCTTTTGGGACTTTTCTGATATACATAATAGCATCCTTGAACTCATATCTCGCCTGTTCCTCTTTCTCCATTCTATCATCGACACATTCACGACATACTTCAGGCAGGGTGAAAACCATCACTGTGCCATCCTCATCTTGTGTTTTTACAATACTTATTTCATAGTCAACTGCAAAGCTTTGTGCGATCACATCCCACTCTCTTGGCCACACATAGACAACCTTACCCCCATGGTCAATAAGGTCTGGATGAGAATTTGCTGGAGGGTACAAATACTTCAAATGTTTGCATAAGAGAGTTGAATTGAGTACCTCCCTAACTGGTTCCCTTTTGAGAGGCTCTCGAATGAAATTTCTCCATTCTCCGACAAAGGCAGCACTAACTACATTTACTTCCTGCGGAGAGCTTAATGCTACTGGACGTTTTTTATCTGCAAAGAGTTCATTGAGTGCAGATTTTTGCTGTGTGGCTAGGAGTTTATTCATCTCCTTACTTTCCTGTTCCTTTTTATTCATCTTATTGCATAGATCACATGATGGTGTACTTTGTGAAAATTCTGGACAGTCTGGAAAGTACTGCCTTAACCTACCCCACACATGATCTGGCACAAGTTTTCTACAAGAAAGGTCTGGGTCTAGTTTATCATGATCACATAAAACGTCAAAGTTAAATTTCAAATCTGGGCCTTCTTCCTCCTCTTCATCTTCTTTTACAGTTCCATTTTGATTTCTAGAGCATGTGGCTTCTTCTGTAGAACAATTTGAAAGCCTTTGAGTTTCCTTGTTAACCAAATCTGTGTTTTCCATGTTATGCTTAGGTGAAACAGTCTGTTCCTCTTTGACATCTTCTTTACCTGTAGCCTCATGACAGTTGCTTACTTTATCTTGTCTTGTTCCATCCAACCGCTCCATAGCCAATTTCTTCCAGCTTCGTAGTGATGCTTTTCCAACCCAATACGAAGGGCCATTTGTTTGAACATTGTTAATTTTCATAGAGGCACTTATATATTTCTCATCATCAACCATTTTGATTTTTAGTCTTATCATGTTACAATGTTGTTTGACACATGTATGGCAAAGAGAATCCACAACACTGAGGCGAGGTCCTCCACCATATTGACTAAACAACTTACTGGCTCCAGCAGAATTAACACACTTGAGTTTGACTGCACAGTGGGGGTCAACCTTGCCATGATGACAAAGGAAAACCTTGTTGTCTATCATAGGGGCCTTTGATGGCTCCTCTAACCACATATTGAGCCACTTTAGCCCTATCCATTCCATTTGGCTATGAGGAATATCCTCCACGAGAAGTCTAAGGTAAATTTCCTTAGTCAATTCCTGTTGTTCTTTTCCAGTCTCAATATTACGATCTCTCATCAGCATCATTTCAGCAACCCACATTTCAAACTTTTCATTGTCGCTGTCAACATAATCTTTGACGTGTTGAGGGATTAGACTTCTGGATACAATGCTGTCTTCTTTGCTGTAGGAGTTGTTCTCTACCTCTTTTTGGCGAGTGTAGACTAACATATAGGCATTTTTGGACCCATGGCTTCCTTTTGGGATTCGTCCTTTTTGTTTGCCTTGGCCTTCCTGAGGGTCATCCTCAGTACCAAGATGTAGGTTTGAACCCTTCATTTTCTCTATTTCCTCATCATTGTACTTGTACCAGGTGCGAGAGTCCATGTCTTTGATGTGTGCAATGTAGTGGCCACTATAGGCAGTAGGGCCTCTGTGGATTAGTACTGCTGTCAGACTGTAGATGGCGTTACTGTCCATCTCATCATCATCAGGATCTATATCTATAATTTCCATCTCATTCTCTCTAACAATTCTAGGTTTTTTGACAATAAATTTGGACATGTCCAAGACTTCAGGGAATTGAATGAAACTGTTCAGTTTTTTCTTGTGCCCTGTTTTTTTATCGAACACAAATCTCAGTAGTTGCAGATTAAGAACAGGTGGAAGGTCCTGCAGCTGTATGGAGCGAATGGCGTTTTGCTTTCTAGAACACACTGAACACATGTATTGGTTGTCTCCTTCAAGTTTTTCCTCTTTAAGGAAGTCCTTAAGAGAGTCCTCTAAAGTTTTGTGTCCCCTAATACTTAGGTCTAACTCATAGAACTTAGAGGGGCACTGAGAGGAATTTCCACACTGACTACATGTTGTCACATAAGCATATTCCCCACAAAACTGGTTTTGTATAACAAATCTAACACTGGGTTCTAACTGCTGAGACAGAGACTCCTCTAAAAGGTTAAGGAACAGCTTTGAGAACTCCTGTGCATCCTGCTGTAGGCCTGCATCTAAACCTAGATGTTCAATAAACACTTTTGGGTCCAAGAACTGACGCTCAGAATGCTCTAGTAAGGCAAACAACAATTGTAGATGACCAGCAATACTACTTGGTGACCAAGTCTCCTCTGTAACACTGCTCATGTCAAGTCCATTCTCTCTGTATTTGTACAAAGCCTGTCGAACAGACTTGTTATGAAACCACAACTGTAGGAACGTGTTCACGTAACACGTAGCTCCTAAATTTTTTAAACCCACAAACATCCCATCCTCTCGTCTTTCCGCATTTGGATCCTCTATATCATGCCAGCTGCTTTCATCAATTTCCCCAAACCACACTCTTTCCCCGATACAGTTTAAACAGTGCGGATTCCCCTTACAGTTTCTCTTGCAGGCCTGTGGCTTGCACTTTTTAAGGTTTAGTCTGTAAGCAATCTCCACATGGTCATGATCAATATCTTCTGGGTTGACTGTCTCTGCCCACTGCCAGGCAGCTTTGTCCAGCTGCTGCTTAGGCGGCATCCTACAACACAAACAATGTTTACTACCACATGGCTGAAGAAAGGCTACCAGATTGTAAGAACAAATTAAAGTTTAAAAAAAAAAAATTGTTTAGCCTATATTCATATCATGAAGAAAACAAAATCAAAAATAAGATTTCACTTATTTAAATTTGACGTCTTTACCAAATAAGAAACACATATAGTTTGGGAAACTGTTATTAGTTTGTGTGAGAAGCTGTCATATAATTAACTCATATAGTGACCCATGTTTGAATCTGCTACTTAATAATGTATTTATAATATAATACTTAAACAACAATAACATGTTTTTAATGTAATAATAGTATAATATATATGATTAAAAGCAAGTGACCTACTACCATATTCGAGTGTCTTGTAATTATATTGACAATAAAAACATTCAGAAATATTTCTATTTTATGCACTTACACTACAGACATTTTGGTAATATTAATCTGGTATCGGGTTAAATTGAATGAAAAACATTATCTTATATGATTGAGTAAATTCAGTAATTGGATGTGCGCAGTGACGTCACAACAGGGCGGGACCAGTTGCAATTACAGTCTTGATCGTAAGTACAGTGTCTGTCTGCAAGTACTGTTTACAAGGGGGTGGCTGCGACCAAATGTAAATTTAATGCAGGTCTTACGATGACCAATTTTACATCATAATCAAACACAATGATGATATTGCTACTGGCACTACATCAAACTTAAAACTGCATTGTATATGTATGATTTCTGGACAGCAGTAATATTCATTCTTGCAGTTACACTAGAAGAGTTGTCCCCCCTGCATCTGAGGTTCAAGTTTTAATTGAACTTGTTCATATAAGATCATGTGACCTAGTGTGGGAAATCATAAATTACATATATCATATACAGAAATAATGGAAAAAAATAAATCTGGAAATTATGATATTTCCACAATCATTCTGTCTCATTAATCAATTGATAGTTAGAAAACCAATGCTCCCAACACTTAGCATAGTCTGGGGTTCACATTTCATACAGTGCAAGCTCATGTTCCTTACCAGAATGTGGGCTGGTAATTTTTCAAGTCAGTTGTTGTAAACTTGGGAAACCCGAGTTGCCAACTCAAAGTATATACACAATAACATGCTATACCCACCCACCATACATAAGACAACCAATATTTTAGTATAGCCAGTATCAAGAAAAGCAATTGCAACCAATAGTTTTATTAACAAACCTATGTCATATACTGTTTACGGAAAAATAAGTCTGAACTATGTATATAAACAAAATCTCATATTTGGTTTGAGATCATCCGTATTCAGTTTTATCAGTTACACATGACGCATTTGCTGCAACCTTAACATAACGATTAATGACCATTCTTTCGCTCATATATATGTTTTGCGATAATTTTCTTTTATATTCATACTTTAAAACAATGTCCTGTGTTCAACTAAACATCTGCGTGTCAACTAAACTGGTGTTCTGTGCCAACGTAATGACTTCCCGCCTCTCTCGTTCATATTTTCTTACCTTGAACTGAATCGACTGCGTTATTAAAATTGTCCATGTCATTTAGGTGCTCTCTCATTATGACTTAGGAACAAAACGCACAAGAGATCTGACAATTAATCTACATCAGATAGAAGCCGGGGTTTCAGCAGCAATAACAAACTTTTACATGACCACGTTTATAGTAAACAACTATGGAGGAAAACGAAAGTAGGCACATGTTTCTCGCTTCCGATACTAGATCAGAATTACTTTCTGATGTCCAGAAATGCTTAAAGTCTCGAAATATTTCTTACGACAAAACATCTGTGGTCAAAAGAGTTCGAGATCTTTATGATGGTGACTACTGTATTCCTAAAGGCTGCCTACCAAAAGTCACGAATGAGGTAACGAACTCACATGGGTTGTAGGTGTTTACAACTCGGGTTAAGATTTCGGGATTTCAAGAAAACGGAAAGAGTCGAGAAAAAAGGAGGTATATATTGTATCAGATGATAATGACATCAACAGGACTATTTATATGGATAGATTATACACACTAAGGTATAAAATATTTTGAAATGGCGATAAAATTATAACGAAAATAGGTCGAGTTACATTGTATTAAGTAGTGATGTTCTTATGAACATTAGATGGTTAATATATATTATCCCATGAACGTCAATTTTTATACATGTATATATTTTTAAAAACCTGCTCTTAGATGTGTCAGAACCTTTTAGCTATGGCCTCCTCGTCCCTGTTTATTCTAGTGCAGGACTTCATCAAATTCCTCTATAATTTGCCCCCTGTTGCATGCTGATATGGCTTCATTGACTTGCAAAGTTAGTGGAGTAGACTTAACCAGGGTTCACCACAATACAACACAAGAACTCTTTCTTTATAAGAATTGTGATAGACTGGAAACATCTTTAAGATTAAATTGTGTGTGCACCAACAATCAAGGGATTTAAGTCATCCCTCACCAAGCACTACCAATAAAGGCATTTCTCTCTCTTTTGTCATGCAAAAACAAGCATTAGGATCTTTGAGGTACAGTTACGGATAGACAGATCACATCCCATGCTTTTAAAACCAAACCAGGTTTAGTCTAAGTCAGTCATTTTTATGGAAGTTGAATTGGACAGTAAATGGTCTTTCTGGTAATGACAGAGCTTATACAATTGAGATACTTTCTTGAGCTAGAAAAAAACCGTATTGAATGCAAAATATGTAAGTTGTTATAAAATCTTGTTTTAGGTCTTGGAGGAAATTTGTGCAGAGTTGATAGAATCAAATACAAATCGACATTTAAAGATATGCAAAGCAACAACTTCCAAACACTTTGGCTTGACATTCTACCTTGAAAGGCCATTGACACTGAAATCTACTCTGGTGCCATTTTGGCAGAACAGAATTGCTGAATCTTCGTTTTGTAATGTTGGGAAAGGTAAACATGTCTTGGTTGTTTCTTCTGACTGGCACAAAAGGAACAGTGGTGACCTGGAGAACTTACGGTCCACTGTTTTGACGGAACATGTGACATATATCTTAAAGGAAGCAGGGTAAGCATCTATGATTTTAGATAACTATTCATTATGCACAATACAGTGCTCCGTATTGTTAGTTAGCTTTTTCGAAAATTTTATTTCCACTATATCAAGGATGGTCTGCAATTCCCCCACCCCCCCCCCCCCACCCCCAAAAAACCCCCCCCCCCCCCCCCCCAAAAAAAAAAAGAAAAAAAGACAGAAATAGAAGTCAAGAAAATGTAATAAATTGAAATTTGTGACCCCCCCCCCCCCCCCTTGAATAACGTAATGGAGTGTCATTTGATGAGATTTATTTATCAGATGTTGATTATAATCATATATAATGTTTAAAAAAAAGAGAAAAAATACATTATCAAACAGAAAAATAGATTTTAAAAAGTCAAGAAAATGTACTTATTTGTTGGTTTTGTTGAAGGTATTCTGTAGAAGCTGTAAGATGTTGTCAACAAATCAAAACTTTACCAGAGTTACTGGACCTGAAAATTCCAAGCATAGGGTTAACAGATCAGATCTCTGCAGACTGTAAAGAGTTGGTTAAATCTCTGGCCATGAATAACAGCTACTGTAAAGAAAGTCACAAGTCCTTTGACCAACGTGACAGTGATGTTCCATGTAAACATGTAAAGTTGGAGAAGGACAGCTCTGTGTGTGATACAGGTGATTCTGTAAGCAAACCGTATGTGGTGGACAGAGAAACAGGACAGCACCAGACCAAGGTTGTACTTAATCTCCAACAATTTGTAGAGGACAAGCAGTTGCTTGTTGGTAAAGATGGCTATGATAAGAACCTGAAATTCTCAGAATGTGAGTTCATTTTTAAGTTTTGTCAAAATTGCTGATTAGCAAAACTTCTTTACAGATTTCAAGTTTGCAAAAAAAAATTGTTGTTTCTAACATTAAAATTAATTGTTGTATTGAAATTCAATATAAAAACAAGACAAAACATTTTGAGAAATAACTTGTGAAACATCACTTAACTGATTTTGAAGCAGTATATGTTCCAATAGATGTGGAGTCTGCATCTGTCATAAGGGAACTTTGTATACTTTTGATCCAGGTACTTTAACTATACATCATGTAGTGTAGTCGTACTATGATCAAAACTGATGGACTGTGATTAAAAGATGCAGTGAAAAGTTATGACAAAATTAATAGATGTTTATAGGCAGTCATCCATGTTCACGAGACAAATTTATGCAGTTTGAAACGTAAACCATAATTCAGGATAAAGTTGATTTTCTTAATTTGGTTAAACCATTCATTTAAAAAGGGATATTTTTTCACCTTCAGTTTTATATGGAGGAGATATGATATCAGACACACTAACAGAATCTTATCTTTTACACGAAGCTGTTGGAAAAGTGAGTTGGTTTTTTACATTGAATCCTTGTCTAAAATATCAGAAATAGACAAACAACTTCAATATCTATGAAGACGTCATACATACATTTAACTTTAAACTATCCAACACATTTATCTAAGGAGGAAAGTAAGAAAAAGTTTCAAATGAAATTTTTATTGTAAATTTATTGTTTGTAAGATTTGCAAGAAAAAACAATTATGAATCTTAATTTCAATCTTTATGAAGTTTTTCGTAATTTGTTTAAGATAACATGTTATGATTTAAGAAAATGTAATTTTTCAGTTACAAAAGTATGGAGCAGGAACTATTGTCTATGTAGTACCTGACAGTGGGTATTTCTCCCAGCAGAGAGTAGACCTATCAACTAGGGCCATCTGGCCTCAGGACCATTCCCACAAACACGTAAGTTGGCACTCCCACAAACAGGTATGGCAAGGTATGAAAAGAACCTGACGACCAATGGCCTCTCATGTTATAGGTTCTGTCTGATGCTATGCATTATTGATCAGTTCATCAAAGAAAAAAGAACAGCATTTACCCTTTGAAATGTACAAAATTTGTAATGTATTGCTGAAAATAATAAAATTTTTAAAATGTTCCGATATATCCGTAAATCTTAATAGAATTGTAAAATTAGTATTTCAAAAGAATCATATCGATAAGGCACTGATCCACTTGTCAATAAAGAACAGATCTGAAGTATTGCTTAGTGGTGAATCATCTGTCCATCTTCCAAAATAGAAAAAAAGGAAACCATTAATGATATATTTGGTTTATAGGGTTTAACATCCTCACTTAGTTGAGTTGCCCAGTCATAATCTGGCAATTACGGTTGATAACAATCAAATGCGGAGTTTTAGTATTGTATATAAATGGAGTATACTAAATGTGTGGACTCCTAGTGTCAGATGTAAAACTAAGTATGTTCTTACCTGTTTCTGCTCAAAGAAGAAAGGCTTTGTTTCATTTTTAAGGAATGTGAAGCTACAAATCATCAAATCCTTAACACCTGTTGAGAACTCATCTTTTCTGAATGTAACAAAAAACAATTTCCTTATTTCTGATGTCTGTGTTAGGTTTACCTTGTCCATGGTCCAGTCAAATCCAGGAGACAGACACAAGCTAACCTTAAAACTGCTGCAGACTTCATACAGTAAGTATGTACTTACACAGAAATAGACTCTATACACTGTCCACAAAATAAAAAATCCAGACATCTACAAACTGAGTCTTAGATATAACACCCTACCTATTTCAGTCAAAGTGCCATCAGATGGGCATCATGTTCTAGATGATATCATCATAACAAATCTACAGGTTGTACCAAATAAAAATAGACCCGAACCTGGCCATCTAGGAAAATTTATAAGTAGTGGACAATTTTAACAAATATCTTCATGTACTATCATTAAAACAAAACGGACATGCAGAATACAAAACAAAACAATTATTCAGTTTTTGAAATGTAATGACACCAGTTGCAGTAATATCACACAACTGAGGATCAATAATGTAGTTATTGTGACAATAATCTTTATTGAAACATCATCTATCAAGCAGTGTTAGGTCAAATTGAATCACACACCTTAGATTAAAGAGTCGATCATTATCAGAAATACACAGAGTATACCCTAAAATATTGAAAATAAGCCTGTTACAAAAATCACCATGGATCTCTTGCAGGGAAAATATCATACCTTGAAAATAAGATGGCCTTGCAAATAACCGATAATAAGAATTTAGTCAAGTTAAAACTAAAATGTGACTGTGTTGACAAATTGAGGCACAGATATTTAAATTTTGCATTTTATTGTGAATGTCTCGTTATCCTTTTAAATTTAGTTTCATCACTGCATCTTTGTTCAGAAAACAAGCTTCCTCAAAAGACAAGCAACAAGAGGCATTTAAAATAAAAGCTTTCATAATTATGCCACACTCGGGTCATCAGCTCAAAGCAACTTGTAAATGTGGCATTCCTGAAGATTAGCTAGTGACAAAAATAAGCAATGAAATCACTATCTTATTTTCAAGATTAATTGTTATGTCAAACTAAGATGAATGAAATGTTTATACACAGCTTGACATGAATTTCAATAAGAAGAATATTTTCTCTGTGATGTGTAGATATAAGTTATATACCAATGGTATATATATATATATTTTTTTTTTTTCAAGGCTGAGATTTTCTCAGATGAAGGCGGCTGCGTTAATGAAATATGGAGAGGAGGTTAATGGTAAGAAATTTCATTGTGATCTGCTAATTTCTAAACCTTCATCAGGATTGTTCCATGATTTATGAATCTCATTCTTCACTTGTTCTCATTTTTACAAACCACTTACACAATACTCTTTTTTAAAATAATACTCCTGGTGCACTATTGAATCATTGTTTGTTGTCAACAACACAAGATAATTCTGTAAAAGTTTTAACAAATCAATTTTGTTTTTTGGTTTCCTAATTTGAGAAAAAAGGTAGAATTTGCTGTCAAAAGGGAAAAATCAAATATACTTAAATACTCTCTGCTGTGGAAAATGATAAGGGATAATTGATAATATTTTTTATAGGTCCAGGATGGCAGTCCACTATTTCTGTTCTCACTTCGGCAGGGATCAAGTTTGAAATGCTCTCAACTGTCAGCAGAAGTGCAGTAAGTTGACATCAAGGTTTTCCTTAGTTTTATAGGCCCATCTAATACCGAACATTTTGATAATTTAAGTTTCTCTTTGGTATTAAGATCTGCCTAATGTTTAAAATTGAAAAGTTAAAAATGCAGTTGACAACAAAATTATTGGGTAATGCAAGCGATTCCTGATCTTGTCATGTAAGATCAAAGAGGAGTAGGAATTGATGACCAGAATGCTTCTTTTATGCATATCCTTGATATTGTATTGAAATGATTTTTTTTCATTATCCTTTCTTTATGTAGGCCTTTATGATCATTGTTTGAATCTATGTTCCAGGTTAAGCTGGATTTATCGGAAGGCGAGAGTGGAACTGGTAATGACAATCGAACTGGTTCTTTTGTCATGTATAACTGTGCAAGGCTAGCGACACTCTTTAAGCACTATGAAGATTCAGTAAGGAAAGGTGTGGTTTTCTCTTTTCTTGGCAAATAATTGTCTTTGGACAAAACATGAATGACTTTTTAATACATACCGATGACAGGATTAAACATGGTTAAACAGCATTTTAATTGACACTGTTATTGATGGCTCAAGTTCACATTTTATTCTGATTTTGTCATTGCAGGTCAATACCCTCCACTTCCAGATATCAAAGATGTGGATTTCAGTCTCCTCAGAGAAGAGGTAAATACAAATTACGTCATATTCCTTTGGTTCATTTATTATATAGTATTAGAAATTGTATTTTAATTTTGTTTCCAAAAAATACTTGAGAGTTTGTTTCTTCAAAAAAATACTTACTTGATAGTTTGTTTTTGCAGAAAAATACTCACACAAGAGTTTGTTTTTTAAAGAAAATACTTACACGAGAGTTTTGTTTTTCCAGAAATCAATATTCATGAAGAGCATACATAGAAAATGCTGCTAACTTTTGACCATTTCTACTTGTTAGATAAGGTGTATATCTGTTCTGTATTACTTCAGGCTGATGGTGCAACAAGACAACATGTGATTAGAAAACATATTGTTGATTAAACATATTCATTAGATGTCTTTAGATCTCATGGTGTCAAAGTACTCTCTGGAATGTCCGTTTTACATGTTGGTGACATATTTAAATGTCTATATTTTAATTGCATTACATGTGATTAATCTGGTATAGGAACTTTTAACAGACGGTCAGATATGACTATTAGATTATATACTCTGCTTTGAAACATCGCTTAATGAATCAGTCTGGAGTACTGGAGATGGAATAGATGGGAGAAACTCTCGGGCACTTTTCTCTATAGAGAACTGAATCGCAAAGATTAAAATGACAATGCAAAAATGGTCAAAGGATTGTACAAGTGTCAATTGAAAAGCAGCTTTCGATGTAAATTTAGAATTAGATACTTTGGAGCCAAATCATTCATTTAACCACGTCCTAGTGGAACTTGTCAGTATTGCTTGGGACCTAACATGTTATACATCAAATAAGTATGGGAACAAATAACAAAAAGATTTGTTGTGTTTCAGGATGAGTGGTCATTATTCTTCCTGTACATATTCCCATACCCTGACTTGATAAGAGAGACCATTGAGGAACTGGTACCGACATCAGGTGGCATCTCAACCAAAATACACACGCACAAGGTAACTCGTTGTCACAGCTGTTTATGTGTGATCAAATGCAGTGTTTATAAAAAGACTTTCATAGTTGAAAAAGTTACCATCACTGACTGTATCTTGAAGTAATATAGTTCTTAATATTGAAGGTGTTTGAATCAGTATAATAATTCAATTCAGCATTTAAGAAAAACACACTCATACTCTAGCACTATGTTTACATTATTTACTACTGAAGACAAAAGCTACTGTGGGTGGTTATGGAATGGTTTCATTAAAATATAAGACATGTAAAGCTTGGGTTAATGTTATTGTATTTTAAATTTTTTTTTGTAAGTCATTATAATGTATTGGCAAAAGGCCAATAAATCAGAGAGGGAAACATGGTTCTTCCTTCCGTATAATATTGGGTGAATGATATGCTAAAAGTCATGCAATTTTTTGTAAATATCAAAGCTGCTTATTTCACTGTCACAATTCTTAATAAATTGTTGTTTGCATTTACAGATCTGTAACTTACTCATAAACTTCAGTCATAGTCTGAGTTCCTACTACAGCAGGACACATATCTTAGGGGTGAGTACATGTCACATTGTGGGCTCCTACTACAGTAGGACAGACATCTTAGGGGTGAGGACACATATCTTAGGGGTGAGTACATGTCACATTGTGGGTTCCTACTACAGTAGGACAGACATCTTAGGGGTGAGTACATGTCACATTGTGAGCTCCTACTACAGTAGGACACATATCTTAGGGGTGAGTACATATCACATTGTGGGTTCCTACTACAGTAGGACACATATCATAGGGGTGAGTACATATCACATTGTGAGCTCCTACTACAGTAGGACACATATCTTAGGGGTGAGTACATATCACATTGTGAGCTCCTACTACAGTAGGACACATATCTTAGGGATGAGTACATGTCACATTGTGAGCTCCTATTACAGTAGGACACATATCTTAGGGATGAGTACATGTCACATTGTGAGCTCCTACTACAGCAGGACACATATCTTAGGGGTGAGTACATGTCACATTGTGAGCTCCTACTACAGTAGGACACATATCTTAGGGGTGAGTACATGTCACAGTGAGCTCCTTCTACAGTAGGACAAACATCTTAGGGGTGAGTAAAGGGGATTGCATTTATACTGTATATAACACATATTTGGAAAAGATCACATCTATTTGAATGTTCTGACTTTCTAATTGATGAAATATTTCATTTGGTGTTATATAAGATGCTGAGTTGTACAATGAAAGACTTCCCGTTTCTGGCTTTGTCATTATGTATACATTCACTGTTTATCTGGTGTACATGCAATTCCTGAGAGAAATATATAATGGTGACTGAACAAATTATATATATATATATTGAATTAACCACTATGTATTGGATTTCTTCCGGGAAACAACATATTCATCTAAACTTTTGATGATCTAGATATATATTATCTATATTTAAGAAATTGGTGCTTGTTTTTTTCAGGAGAACCGCCCCCATCTGCTGCCGTTGATGTATGCTCGTTTGTACTTCCTGAAGATCGTGTTCAAGGTACTGAGTCATGCCCTCAGTCTCATTGGCATAGAACCCATGTCACAGCTGTGAACATTAATTTGTAATAAAATATTGAAACTTGTGTCTGTATTCAGCTTTGTTAAGATATTTAATAAATCAAATATCAAAAGAAGATACAAGCTGGCTGGGATAATACAGTCATTAATAGCTGTAAAATAATTTATTTTTGGTGGGGGATTTTTTTTGGTTGAATTCATAAGTGTGCTAAATCCACGAATTTATGTGTTTACGAGATATGATAATCAGATGAAAGTTGATGAAAATGGATTACAAACTTTATGAGCGATATTTAACCGCAAAATCAAATGACAACGTAAATGTTGATTTTTGGATAACCTCGAAATTTGAATCTCAAGAAAATACATGATTTTACAACATCAGCAACCCTCGTTTTTATTTCATTATTATGATTTTTTTGTCTATTAATTGTAAGGCAGAAAGTCGACCTTTATAATCTTCAAACATTTCATCTCATAGAAATATGTGAAAATATATCTCTGGCACGTAATCGGGATGTCACTAGCTAGTACTACTATTGACCTTCGGAATATTCAAATGTTCTTCAGTCATCTATAAATAGACTAACTAATCAACTGACGAAATGCTAGTCGTACATGTACTAGGATACTATATAACACCAGCTAGTTAGATTTAAGATATATACATGTGTTGATTTTAAAAAGAATAATTAGTAGTCACATGATCAAATTGATGTTAGAATCGACCATTTCAAATAGGAAATATGAAGTAGAGAAATTGACGCTAAATCATCTAGAAAATTTGAAAATGAGAAGTGAAGCAGAACGATTGGTGAACTGAAAATAAAAAGAAAACTGCTTTACCTCACCACCACCTACAATGGCTTAAAGGAAATATAATGCAGAACTAAAACGGGAAAATGCATGCAATATAATTCACAGAAAGAACAATTGCTTTGCAACAGAATTTGAACGATAAAGGTATGAAAATAAATAAATTTATTACGACTCATAAGCATGTACTTCCAACGCCTTTTGTACAGGGACAAGTGGATTGTTGCGGTAACAAAAAATGTATTATTGAAATATGCCATCTAAATCAATTTACTTGAAACACGTTAGACCTCATTAGACAAATATATAAATACCCTCGACACGAGTGTCCATTTTCTGTAGCTTAAATAGATTTTATGTTCCTTTCACAGAGTACCTGGTACTCATACTCAATTTATGTAAACTATTTTGTCTGGTTGATCTTCCTAATACGGAGACTATTGTAGTACCGTGAATAAATAATATATATGTAAATATATGACACAAATAGTAATATCAGAGTTCCTTAATATCGCACTTTCTACACCAGCATGATTAAGTGATTGTCTATTGATCTTTAAATTTTCGTATCAATATCATAAGGAAGGCACGGATTGATTGTGACATTAACTATAGTTTTATATCGATGACCGTAAAGCGCTGTTGATATAAAATGTCACTTTTCGACAATAGATCACTTTTATAAAGCACATTGTTCACACCCAGGAAGAGTCTTCATCGTTGCTTTAACTTCGTAGTCACCGGCCAAGCCATGGACACACGATTCTCAATGTCCTTGTTGTATTTCTTGTATATTTCCGGCAGTTCAAACAGAGAGTAGGAAAACGATGGTGTAAACGATAAAGACGAAACATTTCTCACCCTTTCAATGTCACGATTTTTGACTTTCAATTCAATTTCTCGAAAATAAGCTTTGTTCATCATATCAAGTAAAGGCTTCTTAGCAAAGGAACACTTTCTTTTGGGGGATCGCTTCAGCTCTTTCTTCGATGTGTCTGTAGGGGATCCTTCGTGTTTTTTCTGTAAACCCTGAAAACACGAATTTTTACATGTTCAAAAAATCTTCAAAGCACGTGTTTTCTCATGTTTTTAAAGCGACCATAAGTAAGATAAAATACTAATTAGGTTATTTCAAATCTAAGATTATAATATATACCACAACTTCCGGGGCGAGTGCGGGTGATTCCTTAACATTGGTGATGTTTCCCTGTTTCTTTGGAGTGTCATTATCTTCCACCAGTTTGTTCTTGCTTGTGCTGTGGTTTGGAATCGTCTGAAGGAGATGGTTTAGGGAGAGTTGGGGTATGGCGCCGTTTGTTGACGAACTCGAGGGCAGTTTTACCTCAGAAACTGGCCGCTTCCGTGGGAGTAGGTTACCAGTAACTGTAAATAAAACGATCTTCCTTGTTAACACCCCAATACATGAAATAACTGATTTTGTTAAATTTTTACTTCATATCAATAGTAACTTACGTCACAAGGCATGTAGTTACCACTGATGAATGGATTATCATAGATACTATCAAGACCAAAAAAAGAAACGCTACCTTTTGAAGGAAGGTTATAAACAAAAAAAAAAAAAAACAAAAAACAAAATTGAACACTTGAGATGTTTTTGACACTATCCAAAATCGATCACTTTTCAAACATGTGACATAGAATCTGGATTTTGTTTGTAAGTTGAGTAGTAAACTATGATCAGCAAACTTTATGCTATGTATAAGTAATTATGGTTATGTTTTCTTTGTTGCTAATCATCTCGTTTTAAGATAGAAACAAAAAATGAAATGATAAAATTCCCAGGAAATGATGTCATGCGACAAAACCAATATTCTGTTAGGTTTTAAACAAATAAAAGTATTGCTAAAATTAATAGTTTTGATAAAAAAAAAGTGGCTCAAGGTTTTAGGAAAGTAGTTGCACTTTTATTTTTTTCGATTATGTCAGTTATTTCTATAAATCTACTGAAAATTTACGAGGTGTTCCATCGCTAAACCTGGCATTCCTTGTACGTTGCATTCTACTTATATACACATATTCTTCTGACATTTTAACAAAGTAAGAAAAAAAACTAAAACTGTCTATTGGTGATTTTTTTCTTTTAAAAAGGTGTTCCAAATGGAGTAGTGCTACTTTATGTTGAATATCAACTCGATTTAAAATACGGGAATTGGGACTGTTCGACATTAAATATCTGTTTGTATTTCTCTCAGTACGAAATCAAACGAAGCCAGATTATTAATATTTTATTTTCATTGAAATGTTCTAATATCGGTAGCGTTGCGTTTCACATAGATATGAAGTAAACTGACGATATTCATAAGTTTACCTGTTTAATGAATATTCTATAGTTATTCGTCAAATTTAGTGTACATATTCAATAAAGAATATATTGTACTCACCAACTTTATGTCTTGCCATTCTGGACAGAAGTAATCTCTCTTTTGAAGCTTTGTCCATCCTGATTCTGACCAGGCCGGAAGAAGACTGACTAGGGGAGTCGCCCGATGGATTGGACTTGCTTAATTTGATGACTGCACCACCATCACTAGCCGCATGGTAAACAAGACTTCTGTCTATTGGCTTAAAATACCTGGTAGAAAATAAAAAAAAACTTGTCTGATATACAACTGTCTTGCAGAAAGCACCTGTGTTTCAAAATAAAACAAAGACTTATCAAGACCGACATTTGTTCTTTTAACTAAATACAATTATCACTCTGAATCACCTGTTTTGGTCTTCTTGAAACGGCATCGTCTTTCTTGCGTAGGTTGGTTTCTTTGCCTTGAAGCATGGGAGCTTGGGTGTGGATTTTGTAAGATTTTCTTCCTCATCTTTCCTAGTTGGAGGAGTCGGGGCAACAGATGGCTTCCTGGTTATGGTAACTTGGGAAGTCTGCAGTAGACAACTGCCCAGATCCGAAGTCACATTTTGCTCTTCTTTTCGACCGCTGTAGGAACTCAAATTGAATGCTTCTTGTTGAAGTGTATCTATAGACGTGTAAAGAGATAAATTCAATGTGGATTATGTAAAGAAACTTCTCATCGGGGATATGGAGGATATAATGTTTGAAACTATACATAATTAGCTATTTAATATTTAGTTTCCGTGGCATATGAATTCTTGAACAGAGTAATATTGCTAAATGTCTTTCATAATCATTTCAAATCATATACATGTATATACAATGATGAAAAATGCACCAAAACATAAATGTTTGTCTACCTTTAGCTCGCTGTTCTATAACAGTACGTATCCTCTCTTTGTGTTCCTCAATAGTGCCGTTAGAATGGCAAACACTGGTATTCACATCCTCCTGAAAGTTATAAGAGTTGAAGTCTTTGTCGGAGGACATCAACTCGCAGCTACCATCATAATGGAGATCATGTGGATGGCTACTGGATCCTTGGTACCCAAAGTCGTCTTCCTCGGGCAGTTTCCTTCGCCTGCGGAGTTTAACGTTCAACACAGATGAATCATTGATCATACTTTCCCTGTTTTCATCCGAGGAGCTCTCACAGGGTGAGACAGTTTTATAACCAGACTCATCTCCTTTATTTCGTTTGCGCCTCCTACGCTTCCATCTGTTATAGCGTTTATCCACAATAGGTGTGTAACACAACTCACTGTTGTCTGGCACCATGGTAATCTCTGAAACATTAAAACAATTTTAGTAGATGTAGACCCATAAAAACTTTTCAAAGAACGCGTGTAAACGATATTGGTAGGGTGGTAGGGTGGTAGGGTGGCATATAAAACTGTGTGCTCACCTATCAGAAGAACGGCCATGGTGCCATGCCGTGTTCAATTTTCCGGAAATCATCAGCAAAACTTGTGTAATTAACACATCTATAAAAACTATTTATTATCCGTAGGAGTTTAAGATCATTTGAAAAGCTGGAAAAATACTTCTATGTTTAAGCACAAATTCCATAACACAATGATACTCTTAAGATTTACGTACCAGGTAAGAGCTGTCGCTTGGGAACGTCTATAATTTCTGCACATTCTTGCAACACCTGCTTGACTTTTGCACTGCAACGAAATATTGTTTATTAAAATTTCATCGATTGATATTTTAATTTCGCGATGCTTACGCAGTAAAAATCATATACTGTACATAATGTGGTGTAATTACATGATGGATTCAAGACAACACAAAGGCGTGTCTTCTCTCCTCAGTGGGTTCTAGCAAACGTGAGGGTCTCCAACGTTTTATGCCAATGTAATCTCAGCTTTAAAGTAGAAACTCGTATCTTTAACGAGTTCTGCTTTTTATCAAACATACTTCGTAAATGAAATGGTCAACTGATGTTAATACTGACCTATCGAACACTGCCGGGGGCAGATTATCCTGCAGTTTGGGTGTAATACCGTCGCAGGTGTTCGAGTTTCGGTCTATCTCACTAAGAGCAGTTTTCGAGCTGCTCCTTTCCGTTACCGTGGCTCGGCACACTCCACTTTTAGGTTTTGTTTTAACATAGATTGACGGTAGCACGATCACATCTTGCTCTCGCAAACCGCTTTGGTGCTGTGACCTGCTTGCACACGGAGATACCATAACAGTTTCTTCTTGGGAGAGTTCTAGTTTTGAGGGAAGTTTCCAGTCCGGGGACCAGAACGACATTTTCTCTCTTTCACTGGTCATTGTTCCGGACGTTTGCACATTGTCTACGACTTTTGTCTTACTCCTATCTGGCGCTTTCTCTATATGGTCTTTTCTTTCTACATCCGCTGCTGTCGGTTCCGGATGACCGATGACGTTGCTAGCTTCCGCTTGTTGACACTTAATCACTGTGAGCGGTTCCTTATTATCTAAGTCACTGACTGTGACTTCCAGCTCCGCTTCATCATCCAATGCATCCTCTGAATCTGAAAACAATATGGAATATCATTTATTACGTCGAAACACTCGCGCAATAACTTTGCGAATAGAGATTTTACCAAAAATGATTGAATATACTTATCAAGTTTTCGTACTTGCCGTTGCAATGAACTCACCTAACAGACAGCATAAAGAAGCAGGTGCTAAAATATAACGTCCTCGAGACAAAGATTACCAAAATGAGCCACACAAACAGGTTACTCATTACTCGGTATACACATTTAATCCCGTCCACAACTGGGGGATCTTAATAACATTCAATATCAAGCCATGCAATTGAAAACAGGATTTTGATAATGTTATTTTAAACAAAGATATGGAAAATGTTTACCGAAGCGTGTATACACTTAGAGTTGAAGTATTGTTAAACTTCTGGCATTTACGTAAGTGATTTATGGTTACCGGGCGCGAGTGTATACCAAATCACTCAGTCTAACATGTGTTTGTATGGAAGATCTACAGTTTATATATACAATAGGTAATATGAATCTGAAATAAATCGTTTTATAAACAGCTCTCTCAATAAATAAGTTCTGATCGATATATACAATTACACACACATGGGAATTACACACGCCAAAACAAATTTAGAATTAGATACAGTAGAGCCAAATAAGGAAGTATAATACATCATACAGCTCCACATTCAATATTCTTTTGACTAAATAGAACAAACACGTACAAAATGTAACTTGAAGCTCTGTTGGTAAAAATACTTTTAAATGAATGCTAAAATCATGATAACATCAAAACCAAATACATGAATATATGTGATAATTTTAGGGTTTACTTTAGGCAGCTTAAAACTGTTTCTAAAATGTGATATTGCGACATTACAATGAGGAACCCCATCAAAAACTTACCTTATGACATTTATTCTGACATAAGACCACTCTCGTATATGAAGTGTTTGTATATATAACACACTGTACATATTACCCCTGATTTATAAGTTATAGATATCATTTGTACTTTTATTCTTTGGGGAAGGAAAGGGACCAATTTACTTTCATTGTCAACAGCTTTTACTAATGTGATAATCTTCATCGCCAGATATACCGACACTTACACGTGCTATTGACTGCTGCCTTTTACAACTATAAGTGAGAGGATTAAGCGGCGATTAACATTTTAATAGGACTCTCTACTAACTCATTGAAAGCTTTGTTAACCGGACGAGACATTCTGCAGTTTGTTTCATTAGTAAACATTTCAAAATATATCAAACATTCACTAAACTTCTCCGTCACAGTTTATAAATTTCTAACAATGTATAGCATTTTTGGATTTTATCAAAAGCGTTTCTCGACTGGATTTGAGTATGATAAAGATTATAATACAGCTGTATACTTACACAACGTCTTAATCGAGAGAACCACTCATTGCTTAATACGGTACACGTGTTAATACAGCGAGCCAAGAAAGTCAGGGACAAGTATGAAACATTAATGTATATTGGCAAACTATATCAAAGCATTACCTAACAATGAGTTCGGCTTTTAAGGAGTCAGGCTATTGCAAGATGTATTACAACACCAGTTAAAAAAAGAAAAAATAAACACAAAAGGATAGATAAGATTTGCATTGATTTTACCGTTCAACAAAAACAACAAGATGATGTGTTTATGAAACACTCTGTCTCCGGTTGCAACAAAATTATAAATTGGGACATGAAAACTATGCTGTGTACGGCATGTGCTAACTGTATGCACACTTTGTGGAACACTTATATTTTCAATGTGGCGGTGTAAATTTTTTTTTTACTTTCAAATATAGGTCAAAGGTCAAGGTCAAGGTCACATGGTCAAATAGTTTGGTACCAACGGAAAGGTCTTGTCACATGGAACACACATGAAACCCATACCTCTTTAGGTGAAATAGTAATGGGCAAGGTTAAAGCTGACAACAGGCAAACAGCACAAAAACAACATGCCTCCCCCTCCCCGATCTTTCGATCCGAGGGCATGAAAATGCATATACTGATATTTCAACAGAATCTTAATTCAAACTTAAATGCAATGAAAGTACGGCAAAGTATGAATGAAAGAGGAAAAATTTACACGGAGACCCATGGAAAAGTTTAAGAAGAATCAGATTATGTGTTCCGGAAGATTGAGCTTCTACATCAAGGAAACAAAAGTTTCAACATGTTATTGGAAAACATACCACAACATCGATTTTTATTTACGAAACTCGGTCATTATAATAAAGAATACGTCAGCGGACAAAACGCCAAGACATCAAAATTAAAATACGATACCATCGATAAGCAAAGACAAAAATAACCTCAACTCTCAAGAACAAACAACACCGAAGAGTCCACAAACATTGGCCACAAATATGAAGGTCCAATAAGAGGACTTTGGACTGGTGATCGGAGGGTTGTTGGTTCGACTCCCGGAACGGATGCCGTGTTGTATTCTTTGACAAGATATTGTACTTTACTCTGCTTATTCGAGTCGACATGGCTGTAAATGAGTATGTGTTTGGTCAGTGCTAGACATCTTGTGTAGGCTACCAGCTTGTTAGCGCCGAATGCCAATTCTGGCTGTATGGTCCCCACCGAGTACCGTAGATAATAATTTGTAAACCATTCTGATAGACATATGTTGCTTTGTAAAAGAGGTGTGTTATTTTCTCAAAATACATACAAGGAAAAAATGCCATGAAAGCATAATTTAAAAAAAAAAAAAATGACACGGCATCATCACACAAGTTGAAAATGTATGTGGCCGGACACTTCTACACACGAAAGAATAGAGTACCACCGCGCCAATGTATAATTTATGTACACATAGTGAAGCCTCAAGTGTAAAAGATAAAATCATCATAGGGTCAACAAGTGAGGACAAAAAATTAATAAAAAAAACCATGGAACTGAAAGCGCATTATCAGGATAAAGTAAAAAAAAATACATGGCTTTGATAATGTAACAGATTTCTGTATACAAAACCACCGCACTCTGTATTAGAGAATGTGTTCGTACATAACTTTGTTGAAAGTCATTAAGAACGCTTAAAAGCAACAGAGACAAGCACTTTTCAATTGGCAATTTTACCGAGCCGTGAACGAATAATGAAACGGGTTAGTAAATTTGTATTGCTACATAAATCTAGTACCTGTAATGAATACTTACCAGATGATTCATCTTGACGTTGCTCTATAACACATGCTTTACTACAGGAGGAAGAGAAGCCGGTGTTACTGTTAGAAGGGATTATAAGTTTCGTGGGAGAAGGCGACGACTTAGTCGTGTCCACTAGACGTCCATTTCCCCACAGCCTGGAGAACTGGCGTCTCTGTTCATCATCTACAGAATAAGATAATGACGACTCGAGAAATGTATGGATATCATCAGAGACTGGAGTGAAGTGTGATGTACTTCGTTCAAGAGTGTCTATCCTGTTGCATTTCTGGTAGGGGTAGAAGGCGGAGCACGAGTCCAGCACCAGTGACTCGTGACAGGTCATTCGTTCGGCACATTTATCGCAGCAATAATTGGTTCGTTTCACGTACCCGGGGTTGAAATCTCTATTGCTCTGTAAAAGTAATATGTTATCATGCAGTAGGAGGTCTAGTATTAATTCCGACTCAAGTGCGTAAGTAGTGTTTGTCACAAATACTTGGGACACCAATGCTTCAAAGCTAATGTAAACATCCCCTGGTGTAGTTATAACACTGATAGAATAAGATAGATTGTCGTTTGAAATATCAGTGAATGTTTGCATGAATTTTGAATGTTTCAAACTCTACTTTCCGCGCACATATATGGATCTTTTTTTGTGAATTTGATCGTTATGAAGTGTTTTTGACTAAATGATAATTACCTGATAAGTGCATTTTTAGACAATGGTCCTTAGAGTGCTATAATGTCTTTTATAAGCATACAATGAGCAGCTAAGTCTAGCTTGTATGTAATGTTAAATATGGTCTCGGTAACTGATGATGGAGCATGTTTCTTGAGCTCAGATGTAGAGCCGTGGATTATCACACAGGAGACCCGTGTTAGATTCCTTTTCCCTTCCCTGTTCTATCAAACGAGTACATGCTGTTAGTGTTAGTGGCATGACGGTTATCTCTGTTTTCATCATTATTCTGACATGGGCTTACCAATAATCCCCAATTTTGAAATTAAATGTTAAGTGGAAGTGGACAAGTACGCTGGAGCAACCATAAGGATTTCGGATAATCTTGTTCAAAGAACGGAACGAAACTCGTCATTTCGATCTAATTTAGAGTCGGGAAATTCCAACGGGAATTTCTTACCCCGGTATTTGTCACGACACGACTTACTTCACAATAAACAAGAAAGAACTCCTATCATGCTTAGCGTTGTAGTCAAGAAAATATGCGCTGGAGCAACCATAAGGATTTCGGATAATCTTGTTCAAAGAACGGAACGAAACTCAATTTCTCATTTGAACGAACACCAACAGCCTTGTTAACAAGAAACAAAATAATGACTTTAATGGCTGAAGCGGGTAACTTTTAGGTCATGTTCTTTTCCTGAAGTAGCAATCTCAACTGTTACCCTTAATCATTGTTAAGCCATGTTCCGACTTTGGTCGTCTTTTATGATGTCATCCCTAACTTCCGGATCTTACAGCGATACAGTTTGATAACAAAACCAAGACAAATCTTTAAACATGTTCTTCGGGACATGAAATAAAAAATCTTATTATGATGTGTTGTATTTTGTTGTGTCAGTCATATATCTACTCTACAGACTTGAAATCAGAAACAATACAGACATTTGACCTTTAGCTGACTTGAAAACAAAATCAAACAAGGAAATATTACCACTTATAATGTGGCAACATATCCTCTTCCTACACTTATTTTGTTAGATGTCACCTCAAAAACTTTGTCCAAACAATACGATTTTAGCGATTGGCGGTCTAACTCAACAGATAAGAATTCGCGGTGTGCATGTTGATAGAACTACGGGAGGGAGAGTTTTGTTGTTGGTGTTTTTTTGGTCGACATTTTCTCCATGTGTGGACGTTCCACTCACCTGTGTACATCTAGTGTCGCACACTGAACCTATCCTCAATCCGTCCACTTTGAAGCTGCTGATGGAGCACTCTGAGGGAGTAGGTGGAGGTACGCTCGGTTCTCCTTCCTCACTGTCTTCGTACGCCAGCGTGATCTCGGATAAGTCATTGGCTGGTTTATTGTAAAATGATGCATTTGTATCCTAAAAACAAGACATCGAACAGATTTTAAAACTCACCACGTGTAATCATGATGCTAGAAATTATAGGCGCATTACATCAAACGGTGTGTATAGAATTGAAAAAATATATTTACTGGCAGCGTACTTCGTACGTAATGTATGGTAAAAGGATATCAACAATTATCAAGGTTATTTCAAGACAGTATTGGCTACCAAGCACGGTTACACAGTGTAAAAAGTACATATTTTAACTTACCGTACGACTTGGAGGGACATAAGATGACACTCTGGATATAGCACGTGATGCCATTCCGGAAAGTGAACTGAACCTCTCCCCAACGACACTAAGGGGTCGATCATTCTCAGGGGAAACCTCGTGTGAAGCGGGGAGAATATCTTCCTCCTGGCCAAGAACAAACAAATGTTGCTATATATGACTGTATAGAAATATTAAACAGCATGCTGAATACATTTCCACCCTTTTTGATCGGTTAAATGATTCCAACAAACCAGTAATTAATTAATATTTTCGATGCTTTCAATGTGGCGGTATATTTTCGCGGATCTCAGTCTTGGTTATGTGTGATAAAGTTAGAAATACGTCTGCGCTGATTAACTGTTGTTGCGAAAAAAATCGTTATCTGAAATCTATTTATTTATTTTAATTAAGATTTCATGGAAAGGACTACTTTGAGTTTGAGGGAAAGAGTCATTTTCTTCGGAATGACTGCTACCTTAGATGGGCTCCTTGGTGACGCAATAGTGTTCCTTGGCGAGTTATGAGGTGCTTTATACTCCCTAGATGGCTCCACGCACAGAAGAGACGATCCTCTAACTGGACAAACATTAGGGTCGAAAGAGTGGTTGGAACTGTCGACCGGCAGACGTGTAACAGACGATAGATGACATCCCTGTATGTGAAAAATAAATCTTTCAGAAATTAAACGACAGTGTGTTAGGATTGTTCAACTTGTTAAAAGCTTGTGAAGAGTGCTGCTCATGGGCATACAGTGTCATTAAAGAAGAAGAAATGTATAACATCTCAGCTAAATACATGTACTAGCATTTCTTTCTCTGTGTGATGAAGATCAACGGGATATCATGGACAATATATAGTTTACTTTACCTCTTTGACCAGCTATGCTCGGCCACTAACCTTAGCTATCTTGCTCTTGTTTCTGAGTTGCGGGTAGGATCCTTCTCTTGGTGTTACTGGAGGCCCGCGTTCTACCACTGACAAAGTCGACATCGCGTTTAACTTGTAACCCTACCCCATAGTTCTTCTCATGGTGATTCACATTGCTCTAGTTTACAGTTTGGTAGTATTAGCACGTCTGAACTGATGCTGTGTTGATAAGCGCGATGCTAAGATATTGATTTTATTATGACGTCACGAATAACATGACATAGTAGTGATAATGACGTCACATCAATTATTGTCGTTCTTCACCAATAAACTAACAGTGACAATTCCACACATTTTTTCTTCTAGTTTTAACGTTGTTTTCCATAATTAGATGACAAAACTTTTCTACATCGTTCTACAAAACACATGTATCAGAATGCTGACGTTGCAACGGATGTTGAGTTTTAATCATACTATATTTATACATACAATGCCTTTCTAGTGGTGTATTCATGTGTCAGGCATTTCTCTACTATTTTAATTGAACTTCCAAAATATATATTCTTGATTTACACAAGTACGTCCATTGTATGTATAATTTTTTGCTTTTTTTCTTGCTTTTGTTTTTTTCATAATTGATTTTTAAGGTGTTTCATTCCAATTTCTGAATTGATATTGTGTAACATTCGGTATCGGTAATGGACAAAAGCAAAAAATTAAAAAGAAATACTTGTCTGTTTGATTAACACTTACATTTGAGGATCTTTTCTTCATTTTAACAATTTTATTTCACAATCTTGTACAACAGGGTAAGACAACAAACATAGTCTATAGAAGTCTTCAAGGATTCAGTGTTAATATATGATATTTGATTAAAAAAAAGTTCAACACAGACGATGAGAAAAAAAATGGATTAAACTAATTGCTATATTGTAATAAAACTTGACAAAAATACGAAACTCATACAAGATATACACACATGTACACAAAGTGTGTATGATGTTGTGCAATGGAATAAAACGTTTCAACCTGTTATTTTTTTTTACGTAATTTGGGGGTGCGTATTTTTCCATTACACGTATTTCTATAAAAAAAATCTGCTTTAACACCGCCCACTGCTAATGATCACTGCAACGAATGAACAAGATATCATGTGCACTAGGAATCGAGACTTTTTTTTTGAAAATCACAGTTTTGTTTCTTAACACTTTATAAAACACACACACATAAACACATACAATAAAATTTGCCTAGTCGCTGATGTGGTCACTGCTGAGCGTGGACCGCTTTCGTATTCGATTACAATGGGTGTTGGAGTTGTCTCCCATAGTACCGTTCTCCGATTTGTTCGGTAAGAAAATTTCTAAACTGGCAGCATAACGACAAGTCAACAATGTGCATTGATCGATGAAGATGAGGCCTGAAACGTAGTCTACATCAGGTAAATTAGGATAGTGTTGTTTTAATATTCTTCTATGTATAGGAATACACATATCTACAGGTGATTATAATATTCATTTTATCAAAAAAATTGATTTTCAGCACTGATTGATCATGGAACAATACACAATATTGGGTAGAATTGGAGAAGGTGCTCATGGTATTGTCCTGAAAGCAAAGCATGTAGAGGTGAGTTTACAACAAACTTTCGTATACTGATACCAGAGACGTATATAACACAATTACTGTGTTATATACGTCTTTATTGATACGTACACGCATGCGTTAATAAATGACATAACAGCATTTTGTTAATTTCTCAACTTATACTTTTGTTCATTCTTTGTTAGATGAACTTTGTTCAATAGTAGTGAACACCCTGTTACTTATGTCTGCATACTCATTTCACAGAGTGGTGAAGTCGTTGCTCTGAAGAAGGTTCCTCTCAGGAAACTAGATGATGGTATCCCTACCACAGCTCTCAGGTACTGTACTAAAAGTCAACATTGATTCAGGGAAATTTATTGAATGATAAGTACGCCTGTAGCTACACTTGTACTCTCTTGTCTGTAACAGTAAATGTTATATACATATATATTCAGTTATTTTACATCCATTTTACTGTATATACATGTATATATTGTTCAATTATTTGAATTTTCTTCATCACAATTAAGGGTATTTTAATTTGTTTTGAATACAAATATGATGTTTATTGGCAAAACGAGTTTTAGCATTTGTGCTTCCAAAATACTAGCAGTGAATGAAATATATATTAACTACAATGTGGAAAATCAGGGGTTTGTTTTGCAGGATTTGGTGCTGATTATGGGCTTTGTTCCAAATAGCAAAACTTTAATAATTGCCCAAGCTTTAAATTTCCCATAATAATGGTTGTTTACAAATTGTCAATAGTCTGGATTGTGTTAAACCTTATTCTATGAAAACCTTAAAAGCCATGGGCCCTATGCGGAAGTTATTTATTTTCACAAAAAATTGACTGATAGAGATATGTTGTGATTTATAGCCTTTTGTCTATTCTTTTTTAATTACAGGGAAATAAAAGCTTTGCAAGAGATTGAAGAAAATCCTTATGTAAGTATGAAAAACAACAACTGAGTGATATGTTATCTGAATTCATGATTTCATCTTCAATCTGTAAAACACAGTCGACTGAAAGTTATGCAACTGTTTGTGTTCCATAGAACTGATTTGATGTTGTTAATTCAATGTGGTTTATTATTGTGCATTCTAATTAATACTCAGGGGTTACGATCACTTTTACTCTCAGTCTCTGCACCCCGGAAACATTTCATGGCAGAATTATGCCAAAAGTGAAGAAATTTGATAGGTCTAGAGTGGGTTTCAGGAGAAAAAAACTGACCAATAATACACCGATGTGCTCCTTTGAAGATTACAATGGAATGACAACCAACTTTAATGCCAGCACATCAAACAGTTATGCAACTTCCAGATTTGTTTGGTGTACATCAAAGGATCAAACTAGTCTTTTCCTTTTATCCACAAGGTGTTGAACACTGAACCTTCAATTTTGCCATGAAATGTTTCAGGGATTCAGAGAGCGATAGTGAGCATAACTGAGTACTGAGGATGATTAATATGCTGTTATGAGGAAATGAGTGTTGATCATAATAGGCTTTGCCACCTTACCAATAATGTTTCAGAATATCCAACTGTAGAAATGATGATTTTTCAGTTTGTTTTCAGGATTGAAAAACTGAAAATCAATGGATTTTATTTGAACCACGCTTTGCTTTATGTTATTTGGAAAACAAACAATGCGAACATTATTATTTAGTTTGTTACTAGATGCTATGTGAAATCTATTGACAGGTGGTGAACCTTCGTGAAGTGTTCCCTCATGGCTGCAGTTTGGTACTTGTGTTTGAATATATGTTGTCTGACCTATCAGAGGTCATTAAGAACTCTGATCATCCATTGTCTGAGGCCCAGGTCAAGTCCTACATGTTGATGCTGTTGAAAGGTGTTGCATTCTCACATGAAAACAACATCATGCATAGGGTGAGTCCATCTACCTTTTACATACACAGTCCACTTACAACTGGGCTTACCCAATCAAGATCTAGCACTGTAACAATTAGACTTTCTCAGCATAGTTATTGCATTATATTAATGACACATGAGCGAAAAAAATTCAACATTTTTAAGTGTAAACTGGGGAATTTATCTCCCCTGTTTTAAGCTCCAGACTTATATGATACGACATTTGGTGCCCAACCAAAGTTAGGAAGTGGGAGCAACACTAGAAGGTACATTGTAAGATATTAACCCACTGTTCCCTACAATATATGATACTATAATGTCTCTCAGTTCTCATAATTACTTTAAATTTTCATAATGTAAAAATGCCTGTTTTTTTAATGTGTAATGGAGCTTGTTTTTATCAGTGTAATCATTGTTTTCCTTGCTAACAGGATTTAAAGCCAGCAAATTTGTTGATAAGCTCAACTGGGCATCTGAAAATAGCTGATTTTGGACTAGCCAGAGTGTTCCAAAACAAGGGTGACCGACAATACAGTCACCAAGTTGCCACAAGGTAGGAGAGCAATACTTAAAAAGTGGGTCCCACAAATATTCAGTTAAATCAGGATTATTGGTGTATCTGAGTTGTTGATTAATACTTATTCAGAAATACTTATTCAGAAAGACAATTTGTGTATAAAGCTAAGGTTGTTTGTAAAATAGTATTTTCATCATACACTACTATAAATATTGTGTTTTATTTACAGGTGGTATCGTGCCCCAGAGCTTCTGTATGGTGCCAGAAAGTATGATGAGGGTGTTGACATTTGGTAAGTTCACACCCTAAGCTGACATTTATTATTGAAATATTTGATATTTTGTTTTAAAGAATTCAAGCTGAAGTCAAGACAATACAGGATAATTTGTCATACTTATTTTTCGTTCTTGTCCTTCCTGTATCATGTCAATGTAACGATGCTAGTTTTCTGATGTGAACAGAAAACAGTCACCGTAAGTTAATTCATTGCTAAACTTGCTAAAATTGAAAATGTTTCGTATTTTAGGGCTGTTGGATGTATATTTGGGGAACTTCTCAATAATTCACCACTTTTTCCTGTAAGTAAAAGACCTTTTTGTTATAAATCCAAAATTAGATATTTTTACAAGCTCATTTCTTCATGAACAACTCCAGTATCCTTATTTCTATATCTTATCTGTTGTTGTCTCGATATTGAAATCTTTAAGTATATCTGATGTTATGATTATCTGTCTCACTAACAATCATGGTATGTCATATTAATGAATTTATCTTGCAATAAGCCCATTGGGTAAACACATTAACTCTTGACTCAAAATAAGACAATTGGTTTGTTACACCAAATTGGTGAACCATGATCATAATTTGTTAGTATAATTACTGAAATTGAAATAAATAAGTAATATAGTGAGGATTATTACAAGGCACAGGCTTATTACTGGATAATACATTATAGTAGGTGATACTGATAGTCAACAGTGGAACCTTCTCTATTTAATATTATTTGATGTAAAGTAATCAAGATATGAAATTTAATTATTTCTAAATTAGAAGATGGCTTTAGAAGTCCCCATCCTCAAATGTTTTGCCACAGTCTTCAAATTTTGCTACCATGTCCTTAACAGATTATGTTTTTTTAATTTTTCTCCTTATCAAGTTGGTTTATGTGAATATATTTGTTACAGGGAGAGAATGATATAGAACAGTTGTGCTGTGTTTTAAGAGTGCTTGGGACACCTAATGAGAGCATATGGCCTGTAAGTATTTACTTAATGGTGATGAAGATTTAATAAGAAATAATGGTACCTTCTGATAAGCATTCTTTTGAAAATGGATTGTATGGTGATGTGTGTTTTATATTTTTATTGACTCAAATGTATCGTTGTTTTTAATGTAAAAAGCACCTTTTTAAATATCAGACAAAATTGATTTATAAATTTGATATTTTGAGTTCATATTTTTACGGCTTATAGATACTTCTTGTGTCAATAATTAATGATAAAACCAACGTAACAGATGGTATGTTTCACTCACATTTTTAAGCCTGATGGCTGTCTTCAGGCTGTGGCTTCATTTTAAAGTCATGGTTACCACATCATGACATATAGAAATAGAATAAATGATAAGAGGGGAGATAACTGTACCTGTTTTATTGTCTTGACCTCTTGCATACTTCCTCCCAGGCCAAAAAAGAGTGATTAATATAAGTTAGAATAACTTGCTTCTCAACTGTTGTAAAATAAATAAAGTTCATTTATGTATATATATACATCAATCATGTACTGTCTGTTAGGTTTTGTTTTGAACCCTGTAAATATGACGTGCTATAAAGGCAATGAAATTTAAAAAATCATATGACTGCACAATAGAAAATATCAATAGAAATATTTTAATGAATTATCTGATTTAAAAAATATCTTAAATTACATACTTAAGTGATTTTTGCATTGTAGGGTATTTCCGAATTGCCTGACTTCAACAAAATTACATTTCCGGATAATCAGCCAATTCCCCTAGAAGAGATTGTACCAGATGCCACCCATGAAGCTCTAAGCTTGCTCAAAAAGCTTTTAGTTTATCCAACGAAGTCAAGAATTTCCGCCAAGGATGCCCTACTTCATCCCTACTTTTTCAGTGAGCCTCTCCCTGCTCATCACTCAGAATTGCCGATTCCTCAACGCAGCAAGAGGGGATTGCCTCGACGACAACAGACCCATGAATACAATATTGATCTTCCTTTGGAAAAAAGTTTGATAGACCCTGAATTTTTAGCACCATATGTTGTGAAATTTAAATAGACACTATTCAAAAGAGATAATGTATGCATACATGTACAATATACATGTACAATATACATATGCTGTGATGTGTTCTGGTATCATAATGTTATACATAAAAGTACATTTTGTTGAAATCATGTTTAAATGTGGCCAGGTCATTTCATCCATGTAACACATTCACACAAATTAGTGGCATACACTTATATAGCCTGGATTATTTCCCTTTATTTTGCAAAATGAAGAGAGTTTGGTAGTTGAATTGGGTTATTTCCCTTTGTTTTAAATATAGAAGCCTAGAGAGGGACATGCGACATTGATAATATCTGTCTGTGTTACATACAATGGGGAAGAGTTTCCAGGTGTGTGTATATTAACAACTGACAAAACACTGACAGATACTGATCATATGTTCAAGTGATTGAAGATGGATGTACATAGTATGTTGTAAGATTCTGTAGTGTATATGGTATACGGAAAGTGATTGGAGAGTATATGTGTTTCTGTCAGATGTGTGCAAGGAGATAACCAATTTTCTTCAGCAGTATTTCAAGCTGTTTCTCAGTTGATAATATTTCAATTATTATCTTGCCATCTGTATGATGTATAGTGGTGTGTTCTGTTACACAATATCATTTAAGAAGAGTGAAGATATCACCTGAATTTGCATGAATGATTATATATAAATCATATGATTGAGAAAGATCGTCAGAGGAAAGCTTCTTTTTCTATAACATTTCGTCAATGATAGATCAATATCATTATTAACACCTGATGACTCCAGTTGGTCTCATGATACAATACAGGGACTTAACAGTGGTGTGACTAGGTCGGATGTCATTCTGCATCCATGGAGGAGCTGATCTAGCGTCATCTGCAGCTTGCTTGTGTACAGATTTTATCTTCAAGTGTCATATGGATTTGACACATGTCTAGGAAAAAGGTTGATTGTAATATTTGAGATATAATGCTTATATGTTTTTTTTTTTTCATTTAATTTCAAATATAAAGCCGTCCAAATAAATATTATTTAAAAAAAATATGCTGATGATTTTCATTTCGTTTTATTTCAGTTAATGTTATAAAATAAAAGATGACACGGAAGTGATATTCTGATTCTCAACAAATATGTACACATACTTTATCAGAGAGATGAAATAACTAACCATAACAGTAAGTTAAAAATGCAAGTACTAGCATGACATTTACATGTAGAGTAATTTTGTATCACATTACTTAGAGAGAATGGGGAGAAGGTACAGAGGTTTGAAAGACAATCGAAATGGGTCACATATGTCTCGGCATGGACGAAACACTGTATGACGTTTAAAGTGAGGGAATGGTTCAGAGAATAGCCTTGGCCTTATGAATGGATTGACAGTGATAGTAATGCACATATGACGAGTATAAAAAACATGTACATCACACTTTATCAATAGAGACAGTACATGCACGTTCATACTTTTCCTATATACATCAATTAAAGTTCTTTGCCCTTATTGGATCACCCGTTGTGTCAATGATATGGGGGCTGCTATTTGTCATTTTGTTATTTCGCGACGAAATAACGACATCTGCCTTGATTCGACATTAAACAAGCATCATCATTTAGCAGCGACAGACCGATAATACAAAAAAGAATCCTTACGCGAGATTACACAAATTAATGAATTCTTCGCGTTACACTGTTTTCTATGGTTAGCCAAAGTGGAAAATGGGTCCGTATTTATGGATATCCATAGATCGAAATTAAAGTCGGATTATAGGAACTTTTAAAATGCGATAAAAACCTCAACGTAAGTCAGAATAAAAATGATAGCAATTTGTTATGAAATTATGAAAACGTAAAGTCTACAATCGATCTCAAAACAAATACTGTACTTGGCTTGTCATAGTTTTCGATATTTTGTGTCAATTGGTGTCGGTAAAGAAACGGCACAAATATTCAGCCACCATGTTAATGAAGCACAATGCCTGTAAATGCGACACCAGTTTTGCGTCGTTCCTTATCGAAACGAAAATGAAATATATTATAATTTTCATGTTACCAAAATACACATTTCGATATTAATATATCACCCCGTATCTGCACGGTGCCAGACAGCGTTACTGGTAATAAATAACAGTATATACTATTTGTTTCTGCGCAAAACTGTCAATTATTTTCACTAATTGTCTTATAACTGACCCTGGTCTTTGTAGTTCTTACTTAAATAGATTACCCTCATTTCGTTTTCATTTTAGGAAACAAAATATCGAGTCCACAATAAATTCCATACACTGACTTGTGTCCAGGTGACATGACATGTGTTCGGATGTTATACCTTACTACAAATAGAGACCGAGACGTTCAGTATAGGCGTGTTCGGAAAGGCGACCGTCCTGACAAACTTATCTGTGTATGATACGGCAGGAATGTGGTGCTGTGTTTGAACCTTTCAGAAACAAATAGAAAAGTTTAGACTTCCTGAGAGTAACCGACTAAGAAAACCAGACTAAACAGGTTGTAAAGGGTATACATTGTTGACCGGGTACTGGCTCCGGTGTGATGGTGACTACCAGTAACACCGGTTACCTGTACATTGTATATTGACAAATCCATGTATTGACGGATTATTGATGGTTTACCTGTATTGACGGACTATTGATGTTTTACCTGTATTGACGGACTATTGATGTTTTACCTGTATTGACGGACTATCGATGTTTTACCTGTATTGACGGACTATCGATGTTTTACCTGTATTGACGGACTATCGATGTTTTACCTGTATTGACGGACTATCGATGTTTTACATGTATTGACGGACTATCGATGTTTTACCTGTATTGACGGACTATCGATGTTTTACCTGTATTGACGGACTATCGATGTTTTACCTGTATTGACGGACTATCGATGTTTTACCTGTATTGACGGACTATCGATGTTTTACCTGTATTGACGGACTATCGATGTTTTACCTGTATTGACGGACTATTGATGTTTTACCTGTATTGACGGATTATTGATGGTTTACCTGTATTGACGGACTATCGAAGTTTTACCTGTATTGACGGACTATTGATGTTTTACCTGTATTGACGGACTATTGATGTGTTACCTGTATTGACGGACTATTGATGTTTTACTTGTATTGACGGACTATAGATATTTTAGCTGTATTGGTGCGTTGACGTAATGTTAATGTTTTACCTGTATTGACGGACTATTGATGTTTTACCTGTATTGACGGACTATAGATATTTTAGCTGTATTGGTGTGTTGACGTAATGTTAATGTTTTACCTGTATTGACGGACTATTGATGTTTTACCTGTATTGACGGACTATAGATATTTTAGCTGTATTGGTGTGTTGACGTAATGTTAATGTTTTACCTGTATTGACGGACTATTGATGTTTTACCTGTATTGACGGACTATTGATGTGTTACATGTATTGACGGACTATTGATGTTTTACCTGTATTGACGGACTATTGATGTTTTAACTGTAATGACGGACTATCGATGTTTTACCTGTATTGACGGACTATTGATGTTTTACCTGTATTGACGGACTATAGATATTTTAGCTGTATTGGTGTGTTGACGTAATGTTAATGTTTTACCTGTATTGACGGACTATTGATGTTTTACCTGTATTGACGGACTATAGATGTTTTAGCTGTATTGGTGTGTTGACGTAATGTTAATGTTTTACCTGTATTGACGGACTATTGATGTTTTACCTGTATTGACGGACTATTGATGGTTTACCTGTATTGACGGATTATCGATGTTTTACCTGTATTGACGGACTATTGATGTTTTACCTGTATTGACGGACTATTGATGTGTTACCTGTATTGACGGACTATTGATGTTTTACTTGTATTGACGGACTATAGATATTTTAGCTGTATTGGTGCGTTGACGTAATGTTAATGTTTTACCTGTATTGACGGACTATTGATGTTTTACCTGTATTGACGGACTATAGATATTTTAGCTGTATTGGTGTGTTGACGTAATGTTAATGTTTTACCTGTATTGACGGACTATTGATGTTTTACCTGTATTGACGGACTATTGATGTTTTACCTGTATTGACGGACTATTGATGTTTTACATGTATTGACGGACTATTGATGTTTTACCTGTATTGACGGACTATTGATGTTTTACCTGTATTGACGGACTATCAATGTTTTACCTGTATTGACGGACTATTGATGTTTTACCTGTATTGACGGACTATTGATGTGTTACCTGTATTGACGGACTATTGATGTGTTACATGTATTGACGGACTATTGATGTTTTACCTGTATTGACGGACTATTGATGTTTTACCTGTATTGACGGACTATCGATGTTTTACCTGTATTGACGGACTATTGATGTTTTAACTGTAATGACGGACTATTGATGTTTTACCTGTATTGACGGACTATAGATATTTTAGCTGTATTGGTGTGTTGACGTAATGTTAATGTTTTACCTGTATTGACGGACTATTGATGTTTTACCTGTATTGACGGACTATAGATGTTTTAGCTGTATTGGTGTGTTGACGTAATGTTAATGTTTTACCTGTATTGACGGACTATTGATGTTTTAACTGTATTGACGGACTATTGATGGTTTACCTGTATTGACGGACTATTGATGTTGTACCTGTATTGACGGATTATTGATGTTTGACCTGTATTGACGGACTATTGATGGTTTACCTGTATTGACGGACTATTGATGTTTTCCTGTGTGAAAGATTTAATGTAGTGTGATGTTTTACCTTTATTTACGTTTTGACGTGGTATGACATTTTACCTGTTTTAATATGTTGACATAATGTTAATGTTTTATCTGTATTGACGGACTGTTGAAGTTTTATCTGTGTTAAGGTTTTAATGTAGTGTGATGTTTTAACTTTATTTGTGTATTGACGCGGTGAATAAGTTCTTCAGTTATCACAAGAAGATTCATATTTGTAACTTTCGGCAAGATATATATGTTTACTTTTTTTTCGGTGAATTTCGCTAGTACTGGGAAAGAGAAACCAACAGGGGTTGATGATTATTACATTACAGAAGTGATTTGGTTTTATCGGTATTGTTTGCGTTTTGACAAAGAGATAGATGGCGACAGATAACGACCCGGTAATGGAGATAATGATTTACCCATCTTTATCATTGTGACTCCTCCCGTGTTTGTCGGCGGTATCTCGGCTACACGGATGACCTCTCGTTATAGGGCGATATAGGTATCCAAGTAATTACGTACAACAGGTAGGAGACTCTGTATGTGTGAAATAATGCTTTTTTGGCAGTCTTTTATTTCCGTCGATAGCTTGTCTGCAATCTTTATCAGTTCCGATCTTAAGATCTACAAATATTTGGTATAAACTTGCCTAAACACCGGAGATCAGTTTTAGCAGTGATGTAGGTTGTAGGTCTATGATGTAGGAACGGAAATGTTTTCTTAGATTAATCGTGTTGATAGAACCTCTATCATATAGACCAGACAGATGAGGTAGACTTTCCCTAGGAAGCGTCCGGTATTTGTTTGCCTGGTGATGAGTGATCGCTGAAGTAAACTAGACATGACTAAAGTCTGTCACGTAGTATCAGACGCTAAACAAATTACAGTTGAACTTCACATGTATATATATTTTTCTTTTATTTTAAAAATATTTTACTGGGAAATAATAAATATTAAACATGCATTGTTACAAACAAGTCTTTATATTAATTCCGACTCATTGTTAATAAATGACTGTCTCCGCTGCTCTGTCTGTTGTATGGGCCACACGGAGTTCAAGTCAGAGTTCTTCATGCCCTTAATAACTTTGGCCGCTTACAGACTGTATGAACTACAACTTCCATTGGTGACATAAAGCTGCTTTCGAGTCGCTTGATCTATCGGACATAATCCTGTGCCGATGGTTCTTCCGTTCTTACATATCATGTACCAGGGCGTGCCAGTTCGGGTTGCGTGTGGGTACATTCCATCTCCTAACGCCTCACAG